TAGAGATGAGGTTTCACTACGTTGGCCAGGATGGTCTCGATCTCTTGACCTCATGATCCGCCTGCCTCGGCCTCCCAAAGTGCTGGGATTACAGGTGTGAGCCACCGCGCCCGGCCAATAAATTTTTTGTAGAGATGGGGTCTCCCTGTGTTGCCCAGGCTGGTCTCGAATTCCTGGCCTCAAGCAGTCATCACACTTCACCTTCTCAAAGTGTTGGAATTACAGGCATGAGTCACTGCGCCCAGTGCCTTCACCTTTTCTTTACCTTTCCCCATTTAAGAATTGTTCTTCCAAACAAGAGAAGCCTGAGGCCAGCCAAAATGTGAATGGTTCTGCTTTCCCAATATCTGTCCTGTTTTCCTTTTTTTTTTTTTTTGAAAGAGTCTCACTATGTTGTCCAGGCTGGAGTGCAGTCCTGTTTTCTCAGCTCACTGCAACCTTCACCTCCTGGGTTCAAGCGATTCTCCTGCCTCAGTCTCCCAAGTAGCTGGGATTACAGGCACCTGCCACCATGCCTGGCTAATTTTTTGTATTTTTAGTAGAGACGGGGTTTTGCCATGTTGCCCAGGCTGGTCTCGAACTTCTGAGCTCAGGCAATCTGCCCACCTCAGCCTCCCAAAGTGCTAGGATTACAGGCGTAAACCACCACACCTGGCCCAATACCTATCCTCTTTTTGCCAAATTCCTTAGAAGGACTTAACCCCTGAGCCTTTTTGGTTGAGATGGGGTCTTGCTATGTTATCCAGGCAGGAATGTTGTGGCTGTTCACAAGTGTGATATAGGGCACTGCAGCCTCAAATTCCTGGCCTCAAATGATCCTTCCATCTTAGCCTTCCAAGCCGAATGCACCCTGAGCCTTTTTTCCTTTTTGAGTCTTCAAAGTAATATCCCTCTTATTTCTGTACTTATTCAAATCTGCTTTCCAAAGGTCCAGGATTCAAGTCTGAGTCTACCTGGTGTTTTGTTTTGTTTTTTTTTTTCCTTAGTGATTTATGAACTTTAAGATGGCATAGATTCTTTCTTCTAAAATTCTCATGACTTTCATTTTCCTGATCTTGTGTTTTTTTCTTTTTGAAAATTTTTTATTAGGGACAGGGTCTACCTATGTTGCTTAGGCTTGAACTCCTGGGCTCAAGCAATCTTCCCGCCTCGGCTTCCCAAAGTGCTAGGATTACACGCATGAGCTACTGTACCTGGCCTCTTTTAGATGACTTCAGAGCACAGTAGAGAGTCCCTTCATTACTTCCTCAACCTTATTTTTCTTCCCTTTTTTTTTTTTTTTTTAAGTACAATAGAGTATATTTATCATGGGAAAATGAGAAAATACAGAAAAACAAGGTGCAAATTAAAGTCAAACAAAACTCTACCACTAGGAGATAATGGCTTAGGACTTTTTCCTATTTGGTTATATTCATATATAGAAATATATACACACGGGCCGGGGGCGGATGGCTCATGCCTGTAATCCTGGCACTTTGGGAGGCCAGGTGAGCAGATCACGAAATCAAAAAATCGAGACCATTCTGGCCAACATGGTGAAAGCCTGTCTTTACTGAAAATATAAAAATTAGCTGGGCATGGTGGTGCATGCCTATAGTTCCAGCCACTTGGAAGGCTGAGGCAGGAGAATCACTTAAAACCTGGGAGGCAGAGCTTGCAGTGAATTGAGATCACTGCCACTGTACTCCAGCTTGGCAAACAGAACGAGACTCTGTCTCAAAAACAAAAAAAGAAAATATATACGCATTTAAACAAAAATAGAATTTACTCTGTTTTCCTTCTCCTGTTATATCCAGTTAGTCATTAGCTCTACCGAGTCTTGGTTGATGCCTGTGGGCCCATGCCTGTTGTACTATGTAAAAGTGTAAATTCACGTAAAGAATTGACCTATGTGTTGTATATGCTGCCTGGGGCCACCACCCTTTGTGGTGAAGGCTGAGCATAAAACATCCAAGACTTGGGAGTGTAGGAGGTATGTCCTCCTTGTCAGAAATCCTGGCTGAGCCATGCTTCCCTGTCAGTTTTGGCATCTGCCTACAGCAGGAGTTTGCAGGAGGCTTGAGTTAGAGCTAGAGGGTTAGCTGGGGAGTTCCCCCTGCTCATCATAGAGGGGTTCCAGGTTAGCTATGAAGAGCCAGCAGTGCCCAGCAGAAAGGGCATAGCTGAGTTACAGAAGAGAGTCCTGGTATAGTCTTGCTTATTTTCATGTTATCCCAGACTGTGGTGGCTGGAGGGGACAGTCCAATGACAGCAGGACTAGCTGTCCTCACAGCCTCAGATGGCTGAGTCTGAGGAGAGGAGAAGGTCATCTTCTGAAATTTGATATAAGGCTGCCAACCTAGGGTGGGGAAGTCTGGGGGAAAGCATGAACTTCCCTTGGAAAAGCAGCAACAAATAGAGGCAAAAAGAAATCTGGCTGGGTGTGATGACTCATGCCTGTAATCCCAGCACTTTGGGAGGCCGGGGCGGGTAGACCACAAGGTCAAGAGAATGAGACCATCCTGCCTAACACGGTGAAACTCCATCTCTACTAAAAACACAAACAATTAGCCAGATGTGGTAGCATACGCCTGGAATCCCAATTACTTGAGAGGCTGAGGCAAGAGAATCGCTTGAACTTGGGAGGCAGAGGTTTCAGTGAGCCAAGATCAAGCCACTGCACTTCATTCTAGGCAACAAGAGCAAAATTCCATCTCAAAAAAAAAAGAAAAGAAAATCTGAAGCAAGTGGGCTTGGGTTCTTTTTGGGCATCTTATACATTACTCCATTTCTTTTCTTCCAACAGATTCACAGACCAGCATGGCTGCCACTGCCGCTGTCAGTCCCAGTGGCTACCTGCAGCCTGCCGCCTCCACCACCCAGGCGAGTAGGCAGTGGGCTCTGAGGGCTTGGGGCTGCAGCATCCTGGACAGACTCACCGAAACACTCTCTTCACTGTCTCACTATAGATACCCTAGGTTATACAACTGGGGAAGGCCCAGTTAGCCACGTTTTCTTTACTGAGAAACCATGGTCATTTACCTAAGGTGCCACAGTTGGGTCAGGGGGGAAAAACAAGGATTAAACTCAATGTTCCTTCCACCAGACCTCACTACATATGAAAGGAAAACAGAGGCTCTCTCATTGTCTCAAAAGTTCAGCCGTCCCCAATCTATAAAGTTATATGTTCTGAGTACTAAAAAGCCCTTTACTGAAATATTTATTTCTCCTTTTGCCCCTCTATTTCTTTTTTCCTCCCTCCTCTCCTCAGTTGAGCAATCAGGGACACCTCAATCCCTGGGGTGGGCTAATTAAATTCCATCTAAGTGTCCTTAGAAACAAGGCCAGTGGGGAGTAGGAAATCAGCTCGCATTGTTAGTCACCCTGTCTTTGGGGTGCTGCCCAGGGTTCCTTCCTGAGAAAGACACTGCCCACCTTTTCTTCCTCCCTTAATGGAGAAACCAGTAGAGAAAGGGAGACAGGTGCCAAGCAGGGGAGGGTGCTGGCAACATGCCTGCCACAGAGGTGGGGAGGAGTGGCGTGGAATGCCACCAGGAGGAGAGGGTCATGGACAGAGGCAGCTGGGCAGCGTGCATCCTGTCTCACTCCTTCTCTCTGCTGTTTTTTTTTTTTGCAGGACTCCCAGCCATCTCCCTTAGCCCTGCTTGCTGCAACATGTAGCAAAATTGGCCCCCCAGCAGTTGAAGCTGCTGTGACACCTCCTGCTCCCCCACAACCCACACCGCGGAAACTTGTCCCTATCAAACCTGCCCCTCTCCCTCTCAGCCCCAGCAAGAATAGCTTTGGAATCTTGTCCTCCAAAGGAAATATACTTCAGATTCAGGGGTCACAACTGAGCGCCTTCCTATCCTGGAGGGCAGCTGGTGTTCGCTATCCAGAATCCCACCATGATCAACAAAGGGACCCGATCAAATTCCAATATCCAGTACCAGGCGGTCCCTCAGATTCAGGCAAGCAGTTCCCAAACCATCCAAGTGCAGCCCAATCTCACCAACCAGATCCAGATCATCCCTGGCACCAACCAAGCCATCATCACCCCCTCACCGTCCAGTCACAAGCCTGTACCCATCAAGCCAGCCCCCATCCAGAAGTCGAGTACGAACACCACCCCGGTGCAGAGTGGGGCCAATGTGGTGAAGTTGACAGGTGGGAGCGGCAACGTGACGCTCACTCTGCCCGTCAACAACCTCGTGAACACCAGTGACACTGGGGCGCCCACTCAGCTCCTCACTGAAAGCCCCCCAACCTCACTGTCTAAGACTAACAAGAAAGCAAGGAAGAAGAGCCTTCCTGCCTCCCAGCCCCCTATGGCTGTGGCTGAGCAGGTGGAGACGGTGCTGATTGAGACTACCGCCGACAACATCATCCAGGCAGGAAACAACCTGCTCATCGTTCAGAGCCCTGGTGGGGGCCAGCCAGCTGTGGTCCAGCAAGTCCAGGTGGTACCCCCCAAGGCTGAGCAGCAGCAGGTGGTGCAGATCCCCCAGCAGGCTCTTCGGGTGGTACAGGCAGCATCTGCCACCCTCCCCACTGTCCCCCAGAAGCCCTCCCAGAACTTTCAGATCCAGGCAGCTGAGCCGACACCTACTCAGGTACCATACCCCCTGTACTGTCCTCCTCTCCCTCCTCCTCCTCCTCTGATTACCTCTTCTTGGCTTGCTTTGAAGATGATGCTGATCATCTCCTAGCTTGATATGACCTTTGAGAGTCAGAATGTTTTGGGGTGGGTAGTAAGTGACCGTTTCTACCTGACAAATGTACTCTCTAGTTCATAGGGCCAAGTACTGCTTATCTTTAGAAATTAGATGAATGAAACACAGGGGTATTTTGGCCCTTTTTCTTTACGGGTTTTTTTTGGGGGGAAGGGGAAAGGGGACAGATACATAATTTTTAATAACACTTATTTTTGATTATAGAATTACATACTCAGTAGCAAGAATGAAAACATTCCAATCCATTTCATTCCAAGAATGAAAACCATAGAATTTTATGTGAAGAAAATTAATGAGAAAAATGATGATCATTATTAATGACAAGAAAACAACAGGAAGAGCAGCCTAGCTTTATAGCAGGAATATTTAGGCTAGATCCATCTGGAATGTTTGTTTGTTTGTTTTAGAGTGTTTTAGGGTCTTACTCTGTTGTCCAGGATGGGGTGTAGTGATGCAGTCATTACAGTCTCAATCTCCTTGGGCTCAAGCGATCCTCCCACCTCAGCCTCTGAGTAGTCAGGATTACGAGTGTATGCCACATGCCAGGCTGAGCCACTGCTCTCTGCCAAACCGGAATGCTGAATTCAACAAGAATGTTCTTATTTTTGGCATTTATTAATGTGCTCTAATACTCTGGAATCTCTTTGATTCTTTGAGGCAAGTTTTATTCTTTGTGCATGCCTACCAAGTGCCAGAAATTGTGCAGATGGAGAACCCAGAACTCAGAGAATTTGTGAAGTATCCAAGATCAAATAGGATATAAATGACAGGAGTCAGGAGTCAACTCAGATTTGTAACTTCAGAGTCTCACTCTGCTGCCCAGGCTGGAGTGCAGTGTTGCCACTTGGGCTCACTGCAACCTCCATCTCCCAGAGGAGTTTGGGATTACAGGTGCCTGCCACCACACCCTGCTAATTTCTGTATTTTTAGTAGAGATGGGGGTTTCACCCTGCTGGCCAGGCTGGTCTCAAATTTCTGACTTCAGGTGATCCACCTCCTGTGGCCTCCCATAGTGCTGGGATTACAGACATGAGCCACCACGCCTGGCCAACTCTTGTGTCTTATGTGTAGCAGGTGCTACCATTAAAATTGGGGAGCACTTTTTTTTTTAAATTTAAAAAACAGCTCTGGCCAGGTGTGGTGGCTCATGCCTGTAATCCCCTTGGGAGGCTGAGGTGGGCGGATGGCTTGAGGTTAGGAGTTCAAGACTAGCCTGACCAACACATGGTCAAACCCCATCTCTAATAAAAAAATTTAAAAATTAGGCCGAGTGTGGTGGCTCACACCTGTAATCCCAGCACTTTGGGAGGCGGAGGCAGGCGAATCACCTGAGGTCGGGAGTTCAAGACCAGCCTGACCAACATGGAGAAACCCCGTCTCTACTAAAAATACAAAATTAGCTTGACCTGGTGGTGCATGTCTGTAATCCCAGCTACTCGTGGGGCTGAGGCAGGAGAATTGCTTGAACTTGGTAGGCAGAGGTTGCCGTGAGCAGAGATTGTGCCATTGCACTCCAGCCTGGGCAACAAAAGTGAAACTATCTCAAAAAAAAAAAAGGTTAGCTGAACATGTGGCAAGCACCTGTAATCCCACCTACTTGGGAAGCTGAGGCAGCAGAATCACTTGAACCCGGGAGGCAGAGCTTGCAGTGAGCAGAGATAGAGCCACTGCACTCCAACCTGGGCGACAGAGTGTGACTCTGTCTCAAAAAAAAAAAATTCCTGCCATTGAGGAATTTATGACTTAGTTTTCTCTAGAGGGAGAATCGAATGACTGACAGTGGGAAGCTGTATAATTTTCTGGGTGAAGAAGACAGCCCTTGAATTTGAGTTGTGGACATAGAAGTCACACAGGAATTCACCCTTCTAGCATATTTTATGTTGCCAGGTGTTTTTTTTAATAAGTCGTTTTCACAATGTCTGTGAATTCTCATGATCAGACCTACCTTACAGGTGAAGAATTGGGGCACCTGCTCAGGTGCACATCCTCGGCATTGCCTCTCTTCCCTTCCATGAGGTCCCATATCTTGACGTTGATGGAGACTTAAACCCAGGTCTTCCCTAAGGAAATAATGATACATATGCAGAAAGATTTAGCTACAGCATTATTTTTTCATGACTACACAGCTTTCATGACTCCCAACATGCTGACTGTTATACAACTGATACCTTGTTACCTGTATATATCTAGGTTATTTCCAATCTTGTAGCTAAATAAATCCCTAAAAGTGGGTCAAGGACATGCACATTTTAAAACAATTTGTATTCTATATTAGAGGTTTGCAGTCTGCAACCAACTTTCAAGCCAAATCTAGCCCACCCACCTGTTTTTGTAAATGAAGTTTAATTGGAACACAGACACATCCATTTGCGTTGCCCTTGCACTACAGTAGCAGAGTTAAGTAGCAGAGACAATATGGCCCACAAAGCCTAAAATATTTACTCTCTTGCCCTTTATAAAAAAAGCTGTTGCCGGGCGCGGTGGCTCAAGCCTGTAATCCCAGCACTTTGGGAGGCCGAGGTGGGTGGATCACAAGGTCGAGAGATCGAGACCATCCTGGTCAACATGGTGAAACCCCGTCTCTACTAAAAATACAAAAAAATCAGCTGGGCATGGTGGTGCGTGCCTGTAATCCCAGCTACTCAGGAGGCTAAGGCAGGAGAATTGCCTGAACCCAGGAGGCGGAGGTTGCGGTGAGCCGAGATCGCGCCATTGCACTCCAGCCTGGGTAACAAGAGCGAAACTCCGTCTCAAAAAAAAAAAAAAAAAAAAAAAAAAAAAGCTGTTTTGCTTTTGATTTTACAGGATAAAGGGAAAAAAAAGCTTGCTAAACCTTCAGATGAAAATACACACACTCTCGTGCATGCATACACATACACACACAAAATCAGACATAAAATATCAGTGATTTGAAAAAAGGGCACATATCAGAAAATTGGGAATGAGATTTGCATATTTACTAAGAGATGGGCCAGGCGAGAGAGTTTATACCTGTAATCCCAGCACTTTGGGAGGCTGAGTCTAGAGATGGCTTGAGCCCAGGAATTCAAGACCAGCCTACGCCATAGCAGGACTCCCATCTCTACAAAAAAATTTAAAATTTAAAAATTAGCGAGGTATGTTAGTGTATGCCTGTAGTCCTAGCTGCTCAAGGAGGCTGAGGTGGGAGGATCACTTGAGCCCATGAGTTCGAGGCTGCAGTGAGCTATGATCATGCTACTGCATTTTAGCCTGGGTGACACAGACCCTGTCTCTTAAAAAATAAGTACATAAATAAATAAATGAAAAGAGATGGGATGTTTGTTAGCTTTTAAGTGAGAAGAAACACTCATAAATAATCCAGGAATTAAAAATAACTCCAATCAAAATCACAGCAGGATTGTTTTTTTTTACAAAGAACTTTTTTCCTCTTGACTCAATTGAGTGTAAATTGCCACTATGATCCCCCTTGTCACTTCTGAATATTTTAATTTCTATACACAAGGACATTCTACATTACCACAATACAATTGTCAAACCCAGGAAATTAGCAATGAAATACACAACTAATTCCAAGACCCCACTAAGTTTTCACCACTTGCCCCACTAATTCCTTTGTGGTGAAAGGATCTGATCCAGTATTACACATTACATTAAGTTGTCTCCTCAGTCTGTTTTGATCTGAAACACTTCCTCATTCTTTACTTGACTGTCATGAACTTGACACTTTTGAAGGCTCAAGGTCAGCTTTGGCCATTGGCAGCTTTTTCAGGTTGGCTCTTAATATCCCTCTGACAGGCTGTCATTCTTTTTTAAATAAAATCAGCTTTATTGAGACATTCACATACTATGAAACTCACCCTTTTAAAGTATACAATTCAGTGATTTTTAGTATATTCACAGAGTTGTGCAGCCATTACCTCTATATATTTTTAGAACATTTTCATCACCCCAAAAAGAAACTCTACCCTTTAACCTTATTCCTCTTTTATTTCCTCCTCCCCGCAGCCTCTGGAAATCACTAGTCTATTTTTAATGTTTTCAGGGTTCATCCATGTTGTAGCATGTGTCCGGTGACTGGCCTCCTTCACTTAGCATAATGTTTCAGGGTTCATCCGTGTTGCAGCATGTGTCTGAACTTCGTTCCTTATATTTTCCCAGCCTCAGCCTTAGAATCAACCATTTCTTCTAGGATTCCTGGTTCCTCTCATTGAACAATGTGATGGCCTTTTTTTACATTTTATCATTTTCTTCCTCCCCATTTATTTATTTATGTCATTATGGACTCACAGATTCCTTTTTTTTTTTTTTTCTTTTTGAGATGGAGTCTTGCTCTGTCGCCAGGCTGGAGTGCAGTGGCACAATCTTGGCTCACTGCAACCTCTGCCTCCCAGGTTCAAGTGATTCTCCTGCATCAGCCTCCTGAGTAGCTGAGACTACAGGTGCACACCACCATGCCCAGCTAATTTTTGTATTTTTAGTAGAAATGGGGTTTCACTATGTTGGCCAGGATGGTCTTGATCTCCTGACCTCATGATCTGCCTGCCTCAGCCTCCCTAAGTGCTGGGATTACAGGTGTGAGCCACCCCGCCCGGCCTGTTTTTTGTTTTTTAAGATAGAGTCCTGTTCTGTCACCTAGGCTGGAATGCAGTATCGCAATCTTGGCTCACTGCAATGTCCACCTCCTGGGTTCAAGCAGTTCTCCTGCCTCAGCCTCCCCAGTAGCTGGGATTATAGGAGTGCGCCATCATCCCTTCCTAATTTTTTTTTTTTTTTTGTATTTTTAGTAGAGACAAGGTTTCACCATTTTGACCAAGCTGGTATCAAACCACTGACCTCAAGAGATTCACCTGCATTGGCCTCCCAAAGTGCTGGGATTATAGGCGTGAGCCACCAAACCCAGCCAGATTCCTGTTGGTTTGTTTGTTTGTTTTTGAGACCGGTCTTGCTCTTGTCACCCAGGCTGGAGGGCAGAGGCGTGATTTTGGCTCACTGCAACATCTGCCTCCCAGGTTCAGGCAGTTTTCCTTCTTCAGCCTCCCGAGTAGCTGGGATTATAGATATGCACCACCACACTGGGCTAATTGTTGTATTTTTAGTAGAGATGGTGTTTCACCATGTTGGCCAGTCTAGTCTCAAACTCCTGACCTCCTGATCTGCCTGCCTTGGCTTCCCAAAGTGCTGGGATTACAGGCATGAGTCACTGCACCTGGTCCAGATTCCTGTTTTCTTTACTGGGTTATAATCTGTTAGTACTATTATTTTGATGTTTTCATTGACCTAGAATTGGCCAGTGGCAGCCCCTTTAAGCTGGCTTATATCTTTTCAAGTCCCCACCATTCTATAAGCATTTCTTTACTTTCTGGTACAAGTGTTCCAAGCTTTTCTGGTACCTTCCCTGCCCCCCCCCCCCTAGAATCAACTGTTTCACCAAGGAGCTGGGTTCCTTTTAGTGGAGGATGTAAGTTACAATCTAAGGCCTAGATGCTAGGTAAGCTCATTCCTACTGGGCATGGCTGGTCCCAGCCCTTCTCAATGGACACAGCTAGGAAGTATATATAAATAGACATACCTATGCAATGCCTACATAGATAGATGTAGATAGATAAACTTATATAAGGGCACACACACATATATACACACATTTGAATCTATATTTCTCTATATATTGAATCCCATGAGTTTCCACCAATGCCTCTAATTCCCATCTAGCACCGCAGCATTCCATCTAGCCTTCTTCCTTTCAATAACTCCCTTTGTGACAGAGCCCTCACCCCCACTATCCTTAACATACTTCCTTTCTGGGTAAGTCCTCCAGTAGGCAGCCAGCCTGCCACCACCACAGACACCCTCCTCCCCGCTACAGATGCCCTCCTTGTCCCGCTCAGACTCTAACATGCATATTTTTAAGGTTTTTGATACATATTCCCAAATTTCCTTCCGGCACGGTTAGCCCACATCATACTTCCACTCCTAATATACGAGTAAGTGCCTGTTTCCTGCTGTCTCACCAACAATGAGCACATTTTGTTTTTCCCTCTTTGCCAATCTGAATTGGAGAAAAGTTGTTTTTCATTAATATGTGGCTTTTTTTTTTTTTTTTTTCTGATTACAAAGACCAGAAACTTTTTTTTTTTTTTTTTTTTTTTTTTTTTTTTGAGACAGCATCTTGCTCTGTCACCCAGGCTAAGTGCAGTAGAGGGATCGTAGCTTACTATAACCTGGAACTCCTGGGCTCTAATATGTGGCTCTTAAAAACCAAAGTGAACCAGTGTTGGTTGTTTGATGGTAATTCACAGTGCACTGCCTTCTAAATCTCCAGTTCTGATAGTTGGTAATTATATTTTTCCATGCTAAGTAAATTAAACGTTTGGTTTCAAATCAATAGTCAACATTCGCCATCTTAGTATAGGATGCCAGCAGCCCTTTGTTGAGCATCAGTGGTGTATAAATTTAGGTTTAGGTGAGTTGAGAGGAAGAGACTTTTGGCTGACGGGTGCCCCCAGTTCTCACTTGGGCAGGATACATTTGAAGGCCCCAGAAGCCTAGTCTCTTCCAGGCACTGACTTTTTTTCTCTCTGGCCCCTCCCAGGTCTACATCCGTACTCCTTCTGGTGAGGTGCAGACAGTCCTTGTCCAGGACAGCCCCCCAGCATCAGCTGCAGCAACCTCTAACACCACCTGTAGCAGCCCTGCATCCCGTGCTTCCCATCTCAGCGGGACCAGTAAAAAGCACTCAGCTGCAATTCTCCGAAAAGAACGTCCCCTGCCAAAGATTGCCCCTGCTGGGAGCATCATCAGCCTGAATGCAGCCCAGTTGGCAGCAGCTGCCCAGGCAATGCAGACCATCAACATTAACGGAGTCCAGGTCCAGGGCGTGCCTGTCACCATCACCAACACAGGCGGTGAGGATGGCCCCTGTGGCCATAGTGGTACCTATGCTCTTAGCAGGTGAAAACTATGGGTTGGCTTCAGGATTCCCAGTAACGATAGTGAGGATGTGTCCGGCTTAAGGGCATGTACACCTGCAGTTTCTCACCTAGTCCTTACAGTAGCACTCAGATAGTTTAAGACACATTTC